TCAAGGGTCGTTCCATCCGTAAAGGAAAGAGACCCAGAACATTTTTGTATCTGAGTGCACGCGTGTAAATCCGGGTTTGCATTGGGGGATGCCTTTGGATGTGGTGATCGCCCCAGCAGAGGACTGCTTTTGGCCGGACCTGCAGGACACAGACATGAGGCTGAAGATCCGGGTCCGACGGATGAAGCAGGGAAGAGAGCTCCGAGGTTTGTATCCACCTTGAGAAAGCATTCATCTATGTGTGTTTGTTTGCAAGCGGGAAAGAATGTGCTTTTAATTTTTAAAAGCAACACGTAGAGGATAAAGGCCTGTGTGTTGATATGCACGCACAAGATTCGTACGGCAACACACATTTATTTTTTCCTGAATAATGTTTAAGGGCACTGCAGATCACCACAAAGGTGTCACACTCTGTGTTTTCCAGTCCATGCATGCTGCAGAGGATAGATGTGAAGTACATTTTAATGATCTGAACCAGATCAATAACCATACCGCCCAACAAGCTACAAGAAGCTTGCAAGAACAGGCAGCCCTGCTAATTGTTTCACACTCTTCTTTTCATGCACCTAATGTGTTTAGAAAGTCAGGAAAAAAAGAAGGGGGGGGGGGATGACATCATGAAAATGAGAAGCAATGAAGGGAAAGAAGACGAGGAAGAAAAAAGCGTAAAGGAGAGATTGAGAGTATGACGTAGTGCTCATACTCTCATCAGTGAGATGTTACAAAAGCTCTTTCTCAGTCTTCTGCTCGGGCTTTTTACACTCATCCCCCCGCTGCAGAACGGTGTCTTGTGGAGATTTTGCTATCAATATGCGTGCAGGGTGCTCTGCAGGTGTTTAACAGAACATCGTTTCACACAGAGCGATGAGGCAATGCAGAGCAAAGATACTGAAGAAAAATCCCCAAAACACACAACCCTGCGTGTGCAGCGGCTCTACAGGAGGACGGTTGATTTTTGATAGTCACATTCACGTTATCACAGCACTGATTTAAAGCTCAGCACCTCTGTGCACCTGCAGCTCTTTACAAACACACAGTGGTACACATTTGGATGCACAACCAGCAGCAGAAGAAATCACACCTGTATACCAGCAGCAGAAGAAACTAGTCGTCAGAAGAACAGAAGCATGTTAGCACAGCTGCGTGCAAGTCTACTTGTGAATGCAAACTGAAGTAAAACAGCGTTTGTGGCCACATCCTGCTGAACCTGATCAAAGTCGCATGCTCCCGCTATCTGTCTAGTGAGATACAGGGGCAATAAACTGTTTAACCGTCAGCCAGCATGACGTGGTGTTAATCATACATCTGTCCTAAAGCCTAGAAAGAAATGACCTCACCTCTATTCTGTCAGCCTGCACATTTCTGGCTGCTGTTGCTCAATCTGAAAAACGCCGCTGCTACGGGCTGCAGCACAGCCTTTGTGGAGCTGAGAGGGACATGTGTGCAATGATGTCATGTTAGGAGGCTGGGGGGCTCGCATTGAGATGCTAATGTCCCCCCCCCCTCGCAGTGGAGGGGACAGCTGGAGGGGCACAGAGGGATGGCGTCATGTCTCCCTTGATATGAACCACAGAGGAAAGAGACGGAGGGGTGCAGGGTAGTCATTCACACAAATCAATGTCCCCCTGGCCATTGTAGTGTGTGTGTGTGTGTGTGTGTGTGTGTGTGCACATGCACCCCCCGCTTCATTAAAGGTAACTGAAAGCTACACAGAGAGGCGGCTGCACCCTCACTGGGGAGGGTGGAGGGGCTCGTATTGACAAGGCAGTCGATTGTACCAGCAGCAGTGATGTAACAGCAGCGCTCCCATTAAACCAGAACCGCCTGGCAGGTGCTGCATGGATCTTTATCTCTGGGTGTCCACCTCCAGTTAACTTTAAAGCTCCCTGCCCCTGTGCACAGATGAATGATGGAAAAAACACCAAGCTGGAATCAGCCACGGTGCAGGAAATGATCCATTTGTTTATCGTTTTAGATTATTTACAATTAGCGTTTCTTTCCTCTGGTGCTGCATTAGAACTATTTGAAAGGTCAGCAGAGTGACGTGGAGAACTCAGGAGCAGGGAACAAAGGAGGCCTGAGTTCCTCACTTTGGCAGAGCAGAAGAGGAAAATAATCAGTTGCATAAATGACGAAGTGGGCAGAGAAGAACGGAAAAAGGATGCCGATGGCGACACAGTGCCCTCTTTCCTGGTTATGTACTTTCCTCCTGCCTGGACATTTGCTGCTTTATTACAGAGTGTTTAGTCACATCCTGTTAAAGATAATTTCATGACTTCAAGCGTGTGACTTCATCTTTCACACAAGCTTCCATCTGCGTCCCACGGAGATCTCTTGTTTCTTCTCTAAAGCTGCTGTAGATGTGGTTTTGTCTCTCTGGGCTCATCTTGCAGCACGTTCCGTTCTTATTTCCAGCATTAAAGTTGATTTTCCTTTAGTGTCGGGGTGAACTCATCTCTCCATGTTTGACTGTCTGATGTCACCCTGGTGTCACCGCCGGGTGGGTATTTTCTGTGACTCCAGCATGAGCGCGCTGCTGTTTAGATAGGAATGGACACATGCGTAATCTGTTCTGTATGTTTGCTTCTGTTCGGCCATGTCTCTGGGCTGTTTTCGTGCTCGCTGCTGCACATCAGACGTTTTGACAACTTGTCAGAATGGCTTTAACCTGACATGTTAAACCAGCTGTCATCAACATCACAGCACTTTCTTGTTGCCATGGCAGTGTTAAGCAGAATGAGTGACTGGGGGGGGCAATAACACGCTATCTCCTCTGTGACTAACGTCCATTAGCACTGGCCGTGCAAGGCTTTGATAACAGGAAGGTGTTTGTAATCGCGTTGACGTAGGGTAATGGCTCTTTACAAAAAACATTCTGCATTTTAATCTGACTTCAATCTTCCTTTATGCTGGAAAGTCCTACCTCACTCCCTCTGTCACACACCGCCCTGCCATTTTTGTTTATTTAACACAGGATGGATTTTGCTACATTAGTCGCTGCTGTAATTATTAATCCTAACACTAGATCAAAGAGGGAATGAGTAGTTCCTTCACAAAAACACACTTTCTTTGCAGCTTTAGCCGCTCGCACTGTCTCCACTTTTGGAACATCCTGTCTTCAGACCTTCTAGCAACTCTCTAACAATGTCTTCACAGCGAAAGGGAAATAGTTACTGCGTGAGGCGTTTCCTGTTAACCTAACGGCCTCCAGGAATGTGGCCCTTCCTCATATAGATACAGTACACATTATGCATTTGTTACACAATGTTTGTTTTGGGTTTGTGTTTATCTGTGCTAACAAACGCCACCAGGGGACAGAGAAACCAGGAAGAAGCCCTTCAAAGAGTCCTTCCTCTTTCTGTTTTATCAATTAGTGAGAACACATCACCACACACTGGAGCTCTTGACGAGTCGTGGGACAAAGTTTGTCTGTTCTGTTGACACCAAAAAGGTCTCAAAGGTTGAAGGACAAAGTCAGGCCAGCACGGCATCACTCAAGGTTTTCCTCTGAAAACTACCCTTCTCTCCTCTTCACCCCTCCTGTGAAGCACTGATGTCATCGCTCCGTCGGTTGCCATTAATAGCTGAAAACGGATAGGCCTGCTTCGCTCCGCTCTTAAAGTGACAGCACGCCCAGAACAGCTTGGATGAAACTGGGAATACTGTATTCTCTGTTTATTTTAATGATTTATCCTGGAGAACAGGTCTGCTGTTGTAAACGGTGTTGAAACAGGTTGACCAGTTCCTGCTACATGAGCGGTGCATTTGGGTTACAATATATCCTGCTTGCACAGCGCTGCGTGTGCTACTTTTGGTCAGTGATGTCATGTCTCACTCACTCTCACTCTCTGTGCGCACGCTTGGAGTGCACACTTTGTCCCAGATTGGGTCAAGCAGGACTGAACCTAGATTAGGTTCTAATCTCCTTTCTGGGGCTCAACATTTCCTTGAAGCACACCCTTCTCCTGTCAACACACCTCAAAACACACACACGTACACATGCGCGCGTGCACACACACACACACACACACACACACACACACACATGCACATTCCTCATCCCAAAGTCGTTACTCTCGTTCCTACCTTGTAGTTATAAAACCACAGTGCTGTAAAGTGTGTGTGTGTGTGCGTACATGCATGTGTGTGTGCGTGCGTGGATGTTACTGGGCCTCTGTCCTGGCCCAGCACCTGTGGCCTCTCTCATTCCCTCAGCCTGACGCAATGCACTTCTACAGGACATGAGCTCATGCAGGAAACAGAGCCACACACACACACACACACACACACACACAGGCACACATACACACATCACATCAAAGCTGGCGCCGCCTACCTCTTAAAGGGCCAGACATACATTCTTGGCTGCACAGCAGTTAACCCAATTGTGCACAGAAGCAGAGAGAGCCTACATTTTTTTTTCAGCTTCTGTTTCCCTTAGCGGGACCCTGATTCAACCTCCACCATGCTCAGGGTGGAGCGTTGTCCCCGATGAGTTCATTGAAGGGTTTGCAGGAGTTTCCACAGCCGTGTGACTGTTGCATGGAAAAGCATTAATGCACCTAACCATTTTTTTTTGTCTTCTCTCTTTCCCTGCAGGAGGTTTTGCTGCTTTCTCCTCCTGTTTCCCCGGCCTCTGTGAGGGGAAGCCAGCCACCGCTCTACCAATGAGCTTGTCCCAGCCGTGTTTGCCTGTGGCTAATGTAGGTCCCACACGCATCCTGCCACACCTCTACCTGGGTTCACAGAAAGATGTTCTCAACAAGGTATGACTTAAAGCAGTTGAATGAATGCCTAATACCGCTTGGCAACAATGTCAACCCTAATCCTTACACTGGTTTTTCATCTTCATAGGATCTGATGGCTCAGAATGGTATCACCTATGTGCTAAATGCCAGCAACACCTGTCCCAAGCCAGATTTCATCAGCGAGAGCCATTTCATGCGGATTCCAGTTAATGACAACTACTGTGAGAAGCTGCTGCCCTGGCTGGACAAAACCAATGAATTCATCGGTAAGAAATGGCAAAAATGTATTCAAACAAGTTATAGATATGATTAGATTGAAGGGCAAGATTAGCAGCTGCTGGTACAGTAGACGCAGAGAGAGGTGTCATTACAAGGAAGTGAACTCGTCTCAACTTATGTCCAAGAATGCTGATATTCAATACAACATATCCGCATTTTGTCACAGTTATAAGAGCTTTCACACACAGCTTAGGTTTGATTGTTGTTAGCTATAGGATGCCTGAATCCCATCACTCGTCTAGTTAAAGATCTGTTGTCTCCAGAGGCCGTCGTCTAAACAGGAGATGTGTCGGGGATGTACAGTATTGTGTGTATTCATGCTTGGCTGCTTCCCTCCCTGCAGACAAAGCTAAGGTGTCAAACTGCAGAGTGATTGTTCACTGCCTGGCCGGAATCTCACGTTCAGCAACCATCGCCATCGCATACATAATGAAGACAATGGGCCTGTCATCAGATGACGCCTACAGGTACATTTATTTGCCCCTCCCGTCCAACTCCAGCTGAACTTAAGTGTCAGTTTAAATAAAGACATGCCCCTCAGTATTGAAAGGAATGGTTTTTGTGATGTGAATTGGCGGTTGCCAGGTAGCAAAACCTTTACGACAGTATTAATTTTGGCCTCGTCAGGGTTTTCCTGTTAAAGGAGGATTTGCATGACTTATGTTTTCTGTCTTTCGGCAGGTTTGTGAAGGACAGGAGGCCGTCCATATCCCCAAACTTTAACTTCCTGGGTCAGTTGCTGGAGTTTGAAAAGGGCCTACGATTACTACAAGCTTTAACCACCGAAGACACTGAAAACAGCACTAAGCAAAACTCAGATGTTAACGGGGTCACTGGGTTTGAGATGAATGGGCATCACAGCAACTACGACTCAAAAGTAGGAGACTCTCACATCCCGCCAGAACCCAAGCTGTCATCGCCCACCTCCCTCCAGCAAGGTTTCAACGGCCTGCACCTCTCAGCGGAGAGGATCATGGACACTAACCGGCTCAAACGCTCCTTCTCACTAGACATTAAGTCTGTGTATTCCCCCAACAGACCACACTGCCCCAGCATGGCACCCACACATTCTGAAGACATCCCCAAGCTTTGCAAACTTGACAGCCCTGGAACGGGCATGTCCAACGGTGTCTGCTCTCAGTCGCCCGTCCTTGACAGCCCCAGCTCATCCGATTCCCCTTTTCCCTCTCCGATCAACGGGGACAGCGTAGGAGGTTTGGGTCTTGGTGGAACCGAAGGAGTGCATCGATCTGGTACTTCGTCATCCAGATCAAGAAGAAAAAACAAGCACAGCTGTGGAAGTTCCCCAGTCCACACCCGACCAAACCAACCTCCACAGTCCCTCAACTTGCTGCTGGACCACAAGAGTCCCAGTATGGAGGAAAACCTGAAGGGCTCCCTGCTCCTCTCACTACCGTCCCTGCCCACTGTGGGGTCTGAAGCTATGTGGACCAAACACAGAGACACTGTTCAGGCTACCACTCCAGTCACTCCAGTTACTCCAACCACAGATGCTCCCTGGCATTTTGGGGCAGAAGAAGGAGGTCCGGGGGAAATGGAGCTGGGAGGAGGAGACGGAAGGGGAGCAGAGTCATCAGGGAGGTTTGGGAGCAGCTCGGCCTACGTGGCATTTGGGTGCAGTGAAGGCGTGAGGTTACGAGACAAATCCCAAAGAGAGAAGCCTTCTGTGCTTCCAACACAGAGAGACCACTGGGACCCCACGCCTTCGTCAGCAGTGACCATGTCCAGCAGCTCGAATAGCAGTACGTCTTCGTCCGATAAACAGTTCAAGCGGCGCAGCTGTCAGATGGAGTTTGAGGAGAGCATTTGTGAGACAAGGTCCAGAGAAGAACTGGGGAAGATTGGGAAGCAGTCGAGCTTCTCTGGAAGCATGGAGATCATTGAGGTGTCCTGACAGATAATGGACATTATTAGAACTGTCCCTCGGGGCAGACGTGGACCTGATCATAGGGAGAACTTAAAGAAGACATATTAGGTGGAGCAGCGGAAGTTTCTCCTTCCACTCCACTCATGCAGTGTTAAAGACTCCAGCTGACAGAAGGACAAATACAAGCTGAAAGTAAATGTGAAAAGGTAGCAAAATAGGATTCACACCTGGACAGACAGAGCCTCAGGTGTGCTGCTTGGCTGACCCCACCACCTCTGAACACACATTAGGAAAGGTCTGAGAAAATAGGGGGCGACTGTTGGTACTGTATCTTTTAATAAACTCTGTCACAGATTTAAAAAAAAAAAGATCCCAGGCAGGAAAATGCCACGTTGCATCCTGAATATATAAATTTCCCAGATTTTTGACATAGTTTGGACACAACCTCTTTGCCTGTGGTTAAATGTAATGTGCTTCAGTGGGTGTATAGCTTGTGATTTTACTCCTCCCAGTGCTTCGTCACTCCTGTGTCAGAGAGCCTCAGAACCGTGCACGGCTACATCCGTCCCTCTCCCTGCCCCAAATGCTGCAGCATAACATCTCCAACAGCGGTGGTGCAGTCTCCTCCCGTCATCACAGCACAAGACCGAGAGATCCAAAGGACTTTTAACACAAACATGGTACCAAATCCAAACGATGAAGGATCCTCAGCATTTAGTTGACAAAAGACTCAAAAACTGGTCGTAATGGGCCGAGTCCCCCCCACCCCCACCCCAAGGCAGTGTGTATTTGACTGCTCCAAGTGTTAACGGCATGGACTTTTGGGATCCTCCCACTGAACCCATCCACCACCAGTGAGCATGCACCTGAACGGCTGACTACAGACGGACAAATACTATATATACAACATGAATATATATAGCAAATTTACTGGACTTCTGTTCTGTTATAGTTTTAATTTATTGTATTGCTTCATTCTGGTAATGAGAAATAATATAATGTTTTGTGGATTTATTTCTTTGTTTTCCTTTTGTTGAATTATTATTATTATTATTATTTGCTGTATGGTATTTATAAACACACTCATACAAATACACACATTTGACAAACCCAAGAAAGCAATGTGCTGTTATTTCTCTGGAGAGACTGGTGTATGATTTCTGCTTTTTGGTAAACATTTACTCTTCTCACCCCGGAGACGTGATTTCATGAAGTTTTGTCTCTGTTTTGCGTTCTGAGGACATGACAGATGTCCCACTAATGACATGTATGACAACATGTTTTAATTTCGAGGACTCAGGCATTGACTAAAACATTTTTACGTGTGCAGAGAGCAGATAGCCACACACTCTCTGTTCACGAGGGCTCTCATGACAACTTTATGCAAACCAACACACTCTTTCACAGGTTTAGGATATTAAAACTCAGTGTATTTACTCTGAGCCAGCATCACAGGATGACGTCCCACCAAAGCTGAAACTAGACACACACTTTGCCCTCACCCATGAAGAATAGGCCCTACACACACACCCTTTTTGTTCATTCTCAGGGGATCTTACAGTAAGCCAAGCCCAGCACAGGGTATACACAGCTGCTGGTACTTCAGCAACGTGCATGTCCATCAAGCTTCTCGCACGCTCTCCATGTCCCTTCTTGCTTTTAATTTTTAAATTTTCAAAGATTTCATCAAACCTGCATTCCCCAACGGACAGAAAGATCAGCATCTTCATTATTTGAAGTGGAAACGTTGCTCTCCTGGTGCAAGATGGTTATTTATTTATATTGTAATTTGTCTTTATTCTTCTTTGACCCTTTGTGAGCTCTCTGGCATTTTCTGACCTTTGACCTTATGCTGCTACAACTACAAATTCAGTCCTTGAGATTAAAAAAAAATCTCCTTTTCTTAACTTCTGATATTTTTGAGAAACGTTGTGATAATTACTTATGCTATGTAAGAAGGATAAACGCAGGCTGTCCCATATTATTATTATTATTATTGTTATTATTATTATGTAAATAGCTCAGCATCTCGGAACACTGATGATTTTTTTCTAAATGAAATCCTGATACCTTAGGCTGCTTGATGCAAAAATACCTCAGGTTCTATTGAAAGGCTTTTCCTTCCCCTGTACATGTTTTGTGAAAATGAGACAAAAAATACAGACGTGACAAAATACAAACTCTTGTTTCCTTCTCTTTTTTATTTTATTTCCTGTGTGTGTGTTTTTTGGGGGGGGTATGAACAGAGCTGAGAATGATATAATGCTACTAAATATTCCAGAAAAAAAAACACTTTTAACACGTTAACATTTTTCTTTGGTAGGTAAAACAAATCTTATATTCATGGGTTAAAAATGGATAAAGCTTCAGTTTAATTGACGATGATGCAAAGTAAATTTGTTCTCACACCATAAAATAAAAGATCATTGTCCTCACTGCACTAAAGTGCAAATAGTTAAATTTAGTTAAAACTTTGCAGTTGTCACAAGTGCAAATACATAGATGGAATATTTCTATTTGTTTGCACAGTACAAAATGAGTAAGTGTAAAATTGCTGTGCAGGAGGAGACAAAAGTCAGTTAGGCTCATCAAAAGCTCCACTGATAACAACTTAGACATATAAAGGTTACAAGAACAATGTATCAAGTACAAAAGAGGAAATTAAACAAGAACAATTCCTGGAATTTGGAAAATGGTAAATGGGCTGTATTTGTACAGCGCCTTCTTGGGCATCTACAACCCCCCAAAGCGCTTTGCAACACAATCACTCACACGCTGGTGGGGATGAGCTACGATGTAGCCACAGCGGCCCCGGGGCGCACTGACAGAGGCGAAGCCTGCCGAACACTGGCATCACCCTGGTCTCTCCGACCACCACCAGCTGGTAAGGTGGGTTAAGTATATTGCCCAGAGACACAACAGCAGCATTCTCTGGTTGGAGCCGGGATCAAACTGCAGCCTTCTGATTACTGGACAACCTGCTCTACCTTCTGAGCCACTGCTGCCCTATGACCTCAATATCATGATGAAATACTGTTAATGCCTTCCCGTAAATATGTTACTATACATCTAATTAAACCTAACCTAACAGTTTAAATATATTTTATTTCATTACGGTGTGAATAGCCTATTCTACAGTTGACGTCGCTGCACAAGTGCTGCTGGGTGCAAGTGCTAGACATCAAACCGCATTTACCAATAGAAACACAGACAGAGGACTTGGACCTTATGAAAAACCATCCGACAGACACCATATTCAAACATTACTCAGTGCTCAATTAACAATTTCTCTAAGTTCTTATTGTAACTATTAGGTTATTATTTGTGTCGCTACTTTTTACATACCACCCACCTCTGGTCAAAAGCCTTTCTTGTCCACGTTTGGATATTGTTTGGCTGAGAAGTTTGGCTAGACTGCTGCTTCCTGGATAACTCCACATCTGAAAGTGTTGCTAGTATCGGCTCGTCATTCTTGGATGTAGGACCTTTCCCAACTGCAAAATCTCTGGAACGAATGTACGAGCACCCCTTGATCTGCACCACAGTGTGAAAATACGCTCTTTCACCTAAATACCGCCAACACTTTGCTTTATCTGTCTTTAGCTTGGCCCGTTTCCCCTTCTAGCTGTGTGATGTGGCCACGGGCATTACCAGGCTTTAGAAGATGGATGAAAATGTCCCCTCAGACATCCGATGTAGGCATTTAGAGTCCGGTTATCACCACCCTCAACAGTGGTTTTTAGTTCCTTCCCGTTTGAACATCGTTTGGAAACGAATAAACAACTTTGAGATGAGCAGAGCAATTCGGACCATGGACGTAATTTTTTTTTGGGGGGGGGGGGAAGGACATTACCATCCAAAAACAATATTACGCTATATTAAATAGACACTGGTTGAGCTCAAGGACCAAGCCGAAAACAACCGTTTGTGTTTCCATTAGAACATACCCCCCCACCCCCACACTTTCTTGTCTAGAGCTACATCCCACAATGCATTGCAATGTTACATGATGATATTTTTTAAGCTACTGTAGAATACGCTGTTTCTTTCATGCATTAGAAGGTAATTAAATGGCCACCTGCAGTACCTAAAGTCTCCAGTATCAGAGAGCAGAGGTCATTTGATCAAGCAGGTGTTTGAGGAAAGAAAGTACTAATCCTAGTATAGAAGCAGAGCATGTAGGTACATGTGACACATTGGCATTTCTACATTAAGCACTGGCTTCTTTTCCTGGCAAGCGCTACAGAGAAAAGGAATGAGGTGAGGTCAAAAACTGCTGCGGTTTTATTTTAAAGCTTGCGTCATCTGGGCTAAAGAGATTATCCAGTTTGTTGTCAATGAACAGTTCAAACGCCAGCATCTGTGATTCTATCAGGGAGCATGTGGAGAGGGTCTTAGCACATTTCTGACAGCTCTATTAACACAGAGAAGGTTTGTGAGGAAGTTATGGAGCACATGGTGCCGTTCAGATATGGCCTCACTCATTTTAAAACGATAAGTGACCCGTATCCTGCTGGATGCTGAACCGCTCACCCTGCAGCCTGTCTGTCACAGTGTGAAGTGAAAAATAGAACAAAGAAAGTCCTGAGCTTTTGAGCGGCCAGATTCTTCATAAAAAACAGGAGGTGAAGCTATAGGCCTGCTGAGTGTTCAAATAAACGGCAAATAGAGATAATCACTTTGCACCAGTTAAAAGAACAAACACACTACTTTATGTCTGGCATCAAAGACATTTTTTAGTCAAATGAAACTTTAGTAGTCAGTCTATGGAGCAAGGATTTATCAGTGTGAAGAAGCAGGGGTGGAGAGTTTGAGCAACCAGAAAAACTGACAGATGAAAGTGAAAAAATCTTAAAACAGCTTCAGTTTTTTGTTTTAATGAAGTTATAATAAAATGCTTTTTGTTGAAGTTACATACTTTAAATGATTTGCAGACTGACACATTTTATTTTATTAGTTATGCACCAACTTATGTATTATTACAACCCTTATTAAGTAATATTCAACATGAAGCAAAGATAGGGACACAAAATTCCCAAATTAAAACTTTCAATTCACCATTATGTGAATGTAAAACCCAGGATAAATCTTGTTCAGGAAGAAAGGTCACACCCATCTACTTCCGAAGTACGGGTCCCCGGAAGAACGAGAAAAAAATGCAAGTTAACAAGATTATTTCTAATCCTGTCCATGGATTTCACATATGATATCTGTGAATTTGATGCCCAGAAAGCACTCGTTTTTGAACAATGGCTAAAGTTATTTTAGGTTTGGTGTGACAATAGGTGTAGGGCTACTAATGCGTCTCATCATATTAACGTCATCGAATCAGAAAGGCAGAAGAAAATGGCTGTGAGTTACTGAGCTTCGACTTTCTTCCAGGATGGCAGAAGGAACATTAAAAGTGGGGGAAACCAAAGCAAACAACCTGACCATGTGAGATTCTTCAGTGACTTCATCTGTGTGACGTCTGATTTGTAGTCATTTTATTTACAAATTTTTACAAGCTAACAAATCTCAAAGTACAGGAGAGACATGGTCGAAACTCACATCATTTCTTTCCATTTCAAGTGAAGTACGACATACAAGTGATGACAGGGCGTAAGGCATTTATAACTCCATTCACTTGCATTCATTTTTTTGTTGTTGCGGAGACCCTTGAGCTGACCAGAAGGGGAAGGGAGGAGACATAGTCTCCCTAAACTGTACGATTAAAAATATAGTTATTTATTTCCATTTATTAGATTGTTTTATTTTAACAGCCTATTAACATCAGGACTGATCCAAAAGCATTAATGCTTCAGTAAAAACAAAACACTCACGTATGTTCCCACATTATTAACCCACTGTTGTTATCTCTGCTTCCTCCACACACGCCAGGTTTTCAGGTGCTTCCCTGCTCAGCTCAGCTCATCCGTGTCCATTATGACCCTTCAAGACCTGCCACGCCTTAAAAGGGCAAATTGCAGGTACATTTTTTTCTAATTCATATAAAATGCTGTCCATAAAATACTATTTGAAATGCTTATTGTGGATAGTGCAGCCTTTGACACCATTTCTCATCCCATCCTCCTTAATAGACTCTCTTCCTTAGGCATCACTCACACACCCCTCCGCTGGTTTCAATCTTACCTTACTGGCCGCACTCAGTTCATCCAGTTAAAATCCTTTACCTCAGAACCCTCCCCAGTCAAGTCAGGTGTGCCCCAGGGCTCTGTCCTGGGGCCCCTCCTCTTCATAGTATATCTCCTCCCTATCGGCAAAATCTTCCGCAAATTCAATATCCAGTTTCACTGCTTTGCGGATGACACCCAGCTCTACATTTCCAGTAAGCCCAACTCAACTCTCCCACCTTCCTCCCTTATACTCTGCCTCTCTGAAATCAAATCATGGTTCACCTCTAATTTCCTCAAACTCAACGGCAATAAAACTGAACTTCTTCTAGTTGGCACTAAATCCACCCTCTCAAAATCTGACAGCTTTTCTTTAACTATTGACAGCGCCATAGTCTCCCCCTCCCCTCACGTCAAGAGTCTGGGTGTCATTCTCGACAGCTCACTTTCTTTTCAAGCTCACATTAATAACATAATTCAGTCAGCATACTTCCATCTTCGTTCCATAAACCGTCTCCGCCCCTCACTGACCCCTCACACTGCCGCCATTCTCGTCCACAGCCTCGTCACCTCCCGTATCGACTATTGCAATTCACTTCTTTATGGTCTCCCCAACAAACTCCTTCATAAACTGCAAATGGTCCAGAATTCAGCAGCCCGTATTATCACCAGAACCCCTTCCTTTCACCACATCACCCCGGTTCTCCAGCAGCTTCACTGGCTCCCAGTTAAATTCAGGTCCATCTTCAAAATTCTCCTCCATACCTTCAAAGCAATCCACAACCTCTCTCCTCCATATATCTCAGACCTTATAAGTATTCACACCCCATCCCGTTCTCTCAGATCTTCTTCTTCTATCCATCTTGCGGTTCCTTCTGCCCGTCTCGCTACCATGGGGAGCAGAGCTTTCAGCCGCTCTGCTCCTCGTCTCTGGAACTCTCTTCCCCCAGACATCAGGAACATCGACAGTTTTGCCCTTTTCAAAACAAAACTCGAAACACATATGTTTAAATCTGCCTACAACCTCTGATTTTATTGAACTGTTTCTCTCTGTTTTTTTTTTCTTG